TCCCTCCATCCCTTGTCCAAAGCCCCTCTTCTTACTTACTGCCTTGTCTTCACTGTGTTTCCACTTTGCTTCCTTTTCCTCTGTCCCTCCAAAGCCCTTTTAAATCCAAGCCTGTCCAGGCTGCCGCCTTTGCTGTGTGCGTGCGCGAGGGCTCAGCAGGGTCTAATTTAAGGCTGTGATGATGAGCACTGGCCAAGCTGCTTCCTCAGTCACCCCTGAGGCTGTGACCCTCTTCTCCCTCCTCGCAGAACCTGCTGCCCACCAGCACGCCGCAGGAGGCCCAGCAGTGGCTGCACCGAAACCGCTTCTCCACCTTCTCTCGGCTCTTCAGGAACTTCTCAGGTAGGTTCCCCCCATCGCCTCCGTGTCTGCCCCTTCTCTCTGCCGAGTCACAGCCTCCTCCTGCTCATGAGGCCACCTTCCTGGTGCTGTGGTGAACAGAAATGCTCTTCAAGCCCCCCGGTTTTATTCTAACACAACAAAAGGTGGCTCCCTGAAAGCCATGTTCTTTGTTTCTCACCTTGCTCTCAACTGACCAACTAGTGGGGGCTGGGGTGGTTTCTCTTTCAAGAGCACCCTCTGATCTTAAAGCAAGCTGAGGACTTGGGGAGGGAGCTTCACCTTTCTTTGCCCTTCCTTCCCTGATGAGCCAGGGTCACCCAGGAATGATCCTGCTGGGACATGGGGTTGGACCAAAACACTCTGCTGCAAAACCAGCCTGGAAAAGAAACGTTTGGGGGCAGCAGGGGGGGAGGTTGTTCCCAAAAGGCAGAGGCAGTTTGGGAACGGGGTGAGCTCTGGGAGCAGGAGGAGGGGGAGCCCAGAGCCCCCATCCCAGCCACCTTGGACTGACTCGTGCCTTCTCCCCTCGTGCTGTAGGTGCAGACCTGCTGAAGCTCACCAGGGAGGACGTGATCCAGATCTGCGGCCCCGCGGATGGCATCAGGCTCTTCAACGCGCTCAAGGGCCGGTTCGTGCTTGGCGCGGAGCTCACTGGGGTGCTGGCTTCATGGTGTTTGCTGGGGCTGCTCGCTTGGCTCTTGTCTCCGGAGTGAACAGAGTTTCATTTACCTCCCTGAAGCTCTTTCAGTCTGATTTGAGAACTTGGCCAGCAGAGGTGATGTGGGGATGAAAACCTGTGTAGAGAGAAGTGTTAGAAATGCTCTGCAAGTCCCGCTGGTACAACGCTTGTTCCTTTGGTCCTCTGAAGTGCCTCTCGTGGAATTCCCTTCCCAGGAAGGGAATATTCCTTTGCACCTTTCCCTGGAGAAGCAGGGACTGGTGTTTAAGTGACCTGTCCGAGCTGGAGCGTTCAGAAGGGGCTGCTGCAGCAGGGTGGGGAGGCACAGGGTCAGCTTCATCCAGGAGGCGTGGGCAAGGCTCGCTGAGATCTGGCAGCTTTTTGGGGGCTTGGTGACCTGCCTCTGATGACAGATGATGGGGAGACATGGTCACACTGTGCTGGGGAGAAGGGTGAAGGACAGGAGATGCTGCACTGCACAATGGGACTGTGAACAAGGAGCGGAGCTCGGTCTGAGCCGTGGCTGCTCTGGCCCCCCTCCAATTTAGCTGCTTGGCGCCAGCTGGCACCGTGTCCCTGGGCTCATCTCAGTCTCCCCTCTGGCAGGTTCAAGCCATTCGCCTTGTCCTGTCCCTCCATCCCTTGTCCAAAGCCCCCCTCCAGGTTTCCTGGAGCCCCTTTAGGCCCCCAGAGCACAGCAGAGGGGCAGGATCCCCTCCCTGAGATGCTGCTCACGCTCTGGGGGTGCAAAACCCTTTGCAGCATCACCAAGGTGGGGATGACCACGACAGGTTTGCTTTGAGATGAGTTTGTTGATCTCCTCTTTT